TAAATTGACAATGACAATTAACCAATGAGCGCGCGAGAATTTGCCAAGTTATTGTAAAATGTCCAACTAAGAAAGAAGTACACTTAATGGGGTATCCACTTTTAAACAAAAGGTTTGCGTTTAAGTGAGGTATCTCAGAAAGAGAAGCGTCAGATTAAAAGCCGTTTGCCTTTCTAGGGGGAGAGCAGAGATTTGTCTGTATTGTCCCTACCTGTAAATGCTCCGCGAACAAAAGACTCTTCAGCACTTGACAATTTTTCCTTTTCTTTTCCTTATCTTCCAGAACGTTGAGCAAAAATGTGTAAACCTCTCGCACTTCAATTGAAGAAGGCAGCAATTCAAGGGCCTTAAAAACAAGACACAGACCCAAATGATAAGTACAAGATTATAAACTGTTTGTGTATTTTCGACTTCCTCGAGCCCAGGCGCTCGCTGGGATTTTCCGCCGCGCGTCAAAGATGAAGGGCGCAAAGGGAGAGAAAGATCAACGGACGTGTTCGTGTTTACCCTTCCCCATTCCCTCGCGGCACGAAAATTTCCGCGTAGAGAAAACGCTGACTAAGCTCGAAACAGCGTTTTGATTTCACACTTTTTATATCACGTCATGTCACGCAGTGTTACGTTATGTTCCACATTCCATAATGAACTGCGCTACTTACCTTAGCAGTACTGATCTTCTGTCGATGCTCTTGAAGTACGTTGAGTGCCACAGCAATGTTCGGCTTCATGTTCTCCTTGCCGCCTACCTCCGTTGGCTCCAGGTACATGCGCAGTAGGGATACGTACACCTGTCATTCAAACGTTATAGTTGTCAAGGCAACTACAATGCATGATCCAAGGTCCGTTTGACGCTTTGCTTGCAAATGTTTGGGGTTTGATGACGCCTCCTTCACGCCCCCTCCCTTCTTATTACATCCCTGCCCCTTGCAAGCGTAAAGATATATCTATCTACCCTCTTCGCCGCACGGGATATTGCAGTGAATACCAAACAGTTGTATTTTCAACATAACCAGAAAACTGGGACGTGGAGGTAATTAATCAGAAGCCCAACCCTCCATTCCCCCACCCCTCCCTAAACCGGCAGTCTCTACCCACCTCTATCAAGCTTCTCTTCTATTTAGCGTCCAATAACAGGTTTGCACGATATCGTAATTTGACTACAACTACCAGAACTCCTTTCGTTTTTTCCTTATTATTTAAATTTTGAAGTTCTAGAGAGGTTTTCGTAACAATTGCCCTAATTAGGATAAGAAACAGACAAAGTGAAGGATTCCGGTATTTGTAGTCAAACGACGCCATCACGTAAATCGCCTATTCCCAACAAATGAACTCGTAACAACAATAAGCCAACCGAGGTACTAAATGAGACATCAACGAAGAGTTGGATAAACAAACTTCTACACGTACTTGACACAACTGTGCTTGTACAGTTCAACTATGAAGGGATATAAATGACTGTTTTGAAAGCCAGAAGGAAAGCACAGGATTCTACCCAAGCTATGCTATAGCATGTACCTTCACATTGTACTTACATCTTTGCTTCCCTCCCTTCCTTCACTATAGTTTCGTTGACAATACCTGCACAATGAGATTGTTACAGTTCACATTAAAAGATAACCAACCCAGTCTTGTGAAGGTGAATTAATCAACATGACACGAGCGTGGGACAAAGAAAAATTCTAAGTCTCCGACAGGAATCGAACCCATGACCTCCCGAACACCGGGCGAACGCTCTATCCACTGAGCTACGAGAACTCATGGAGGGCAAGGCCATTTAACTGAGTTCATATATGACAGGTGTCCTGCATACTGCTAGGATTCCTGTCGGGGACTCGGAATTTTTCTTTGTCCCATGCTCGTGTCATGTTGATTAATTCACCTTCACATTTCATTACCGAGCTTAAAATTCACCATCTTTATTAACTTATCACAACCCAATCTTGTTTGCAAACCCAAAAATCAACTCTTAAAAGTAAGGGGTAATTGAACGCCTCTACAACGATCAGTCTGGAGCAAAACTAGCCCTTTCATGATCAGATATTTTAATAAGAGTAAAATCTATCGATCGGTCCTGGCCGTTAAGGAAGCTTCAACTATATTCTTTAATTAAGGCAAAAACCTTAGCGTTCAAAGAGGTTTTCTCTCTGTCCCAGTGTTCCAAAAACATGTGTTTGAATACTACTGAAATGAACAAAATTACGCAAGCTCTTATATTCAAAACCTAAACTAAGGGTTGCTTTTTATGCTACTGTCTAACATAATTACGACGGAATCCGACTATAAACCGGAGAGTTGTCGAGAGTTCGTGTTGTACCGTGAGGTTGCGCTACCTGTGGAGTATACTGAATAAAAAAACAGTCCACCTACTCTTCTGCAAGTTTGGCGTCGTGAAGAACATGGATATAAATGGCGAGAGCTTCCTCGTGTCTTCCTACTCTCCCCAGCAAAAGGGCTCGTTCATGATAGAAAGCTGCAAGAGACAAGGATACCATCATAAGTCGCAGCTTCTAAATAAAACCAAAGACTTCACGTCACCTATGAGTTTCATTCCCTTAGCCCCCGTCCACATTACGCCGAAGGAATTTGAAAACGTAGCCTTATTTCTCCGGATGGGCCTTCCGTCCACACTAGTCTGTCACGAAAACGGAGCTTTTCGGAAACGCTCTTCAAACCAGAGGAATTTGAAAACCTCGGTTTTGCGTTTTAGTGCGCACAGAAAACATTTTGAAAACGAAGCTTTTCGAAAACGATGAGGTTACGAGAATCATGTGATTTTTCAGTCCGAGTTTTACTCAAACACAAATCCAAAATGACCGGTGATTGTTGCGTCTTCAAATTCCTCCGGCGTAGTGTGGACGGAAAATATTTGATGCGTCTTCAGAGTGAAACCTCCGTATTCAAATTCCTCCTGTGTAGTGTGGACGAGGCCTTAAACTTTGAAATAATTTACAGTCCAATGTGCACGAAGTTTGTAATGATAGAAGTTACAAATAGTACGGTAACAGAAAGAAATCTGACGAGGAACAATCAGTAAATTCTCCTACATAATCTGCGTACATTGCTAAGAGTTCAGACAATGATTCAAAAACAGAAAATTTCACACCAATTCAGGCTCTGAACTTCTATTTACATTCGGTAACGATAGTTTTAACGGGAACGGTAAACGCGCTAACGTTGGACGGCCGCGTCAATTTTGGCGGGAACTGCCTTGTCTGGTGTGTCCTCTGTCTAGACGAAAAATGCTCGGGTTTTTTATTATTCTTTTGTTTTGTTCTGTTAGTTTTTACATAAAAATGAGCTTAAATTAAACACAAAGACGTAAAAGATACATGACTTACACTCTGGAAAGTGTGTCAGCAGATGCTGTGCTTGATAATATTTAGAAGTCTCCAACAGGAACAGTAATCTTCCTCTTAACTCGCCCAGTTCACCAGGTTCACTTCCGGGAGGAAATGGCTCGTCACCTAACAACCAATCAAAATCAAAATTTTCCTTGCTGTTTTATACAATTCCTATGATTCGCTTTGGGAGAATTTGGGTTCTTGTCTAGATAAAGATTGTGACAATACCTCTGCTATTTTGCAGGAACAAGCGCAAACAAAAAAAAAAAAAAAAAGAAAAAAAAAAAAAAAAAAAA